TTTTGCTAATCCTCACCTGAGGATACTTTTTCCATTGATTTCAGAGAGAGTGGGTGGGGGGAGAAACATCAGTGATGAGAGAAAAATATCAGCTGCCTCCTCCACGCCTCCTGCTGGGGATTGAGCCCGCAACCTAGGCATATCCTGGACCGGGAATCGAACCAGTGACCTTTCGGTGCATGGGTTGACAACCACTGAGCCACGCTGGTGGGGCTAAGCTGTCATTCTTGATCTTGTACATTAGAATCATCAGGGAGCCTGTTGAAATGTAGCTTCCTGTTCCTGTTGCAGCGCTTGAGTAACTTAGTGTGGAATGTGGTACAAGAATCTGTTTTCATAACAAGCACCCCAGGTAATGACCATGCTTGTGGCCCATGCTGAGAAGCTGTGGAAGGTTATGAGGTAGTTAGAGCTACAGGTTTTCTGAGAACCTCTTTGGTAGGTAATACTGGCTGTAAATTTATAGTAGCAGAATACTTGATTAGAAAGCCATGGAAACTTGTTAATAAGCTGCTTTTAATGTTAGAAAGTGAGGAAGATTGTTGAATGTCATGTAATTTTTTTACAACTTGAAAAAGGAAAAATAGAGATTTTTGTTGAGGTAATTTCTTATTGGTAATTGCTTTATTTCAAGGCTTTCTCGGTTCCCCTTATGTGTAGAACAAACAGATTAAGTTAAATCAAGTTTTGATTAATTAATCAGAATGTAAGCTCCATGAAGGAGATGGTGTTCTTTCTTACAGTCCGTAGAGTCTAAAACAGTACTTGGAACATGGTAGGCATTCAGTAATATTTGTTGAACGTATGAATATGTAGATCGGTTTTTACATATCAGATACTTGTTAGGGAGTAAGAATTTGTTTTGAATCACTTAAAATTGCCTATCAGAAGTTGTTGCAATTGATCTTACATAAAATTTATATTAAACCTATGGATTTTTGAGGTTCATTTATTGTTAAAATTGTGGGAATAATTATATCATTTATATTCTTTCCATGTAAGTTACATTTTAAATTTATAATTGGTGTTGCAAATAGAGCTCTTGCATTAAAAGCATTTTTATTTTCCTTTTAGGAGTTAACAGAGCAGTTTAATCAAGTTGAGTCTCAACTGAATAAGCTAAATCATCTTCTCACTGACATTCTTGCTGATGTGAAGACAAAAAGAAAAATTTTGGCATCTAATAAACTGCATCAAATGGAAAGAGAATTATATGTATATTTTTTTAAAGATGAAGATTATCTGAAAGATATTGTGGAGAATTTAGAAAAGCAGTCAGAAATTAAGGCTGTTGGTCTCAAAGATTGAAAATTACTAAATACTGGATCTTTACTATATATGCTGTTATTTAATGTTTTACATATTAGGAGAATATAGCTAATAAATACTAAAAATTTAAATTTGAGGTCAGTGGGACATTTAATGAATTCAAGTATTATATCAATTTGTTTTTTTCCTCTCTATAGCATGTTTGTTCAGAGTACCAGTGCTTTATATGACTTGAACATCTGCTTGGTGGCACTTAGTCTTGGTAACTTTTTACTTATAGGGAAAACACATTACAGTAGCAGCCCCCTTATCTGCAGCTTTGCTTTCTACTGTTTCAGTTACTCGAAGTCAACCATGGTCTGAAAATTACGTGGAAAGTTCCAGAAATAAAACAATTCATAAGTTTTAAATTGTGCGCCGTTCTGAATAGTGCACTGAAATCTCACACTAGCCTGCTCTGTCCAGTCTGGAACATGAATCCATCCTTTTATCCATCGTGTCTACACTGTGTGCTACCTGCCTGTTAGTCACTTAGCTGTCTTGGTTATTGGATCAGCTGTTGCAGTATCACAGTGATTGTGTCCAAGTCACCCTGACTTCACTTAATGCCTCAGAGCACAAGAGCAGTGATGCTGGCAATTCGAACACACCAAAGAGAAGCCGTAAAATTCTTCCCTTAAGTGAAAATGTATGCACTGTATAGGAAAAAACTATGTATATAGGATTCTGTCTGGTTACAGGCATCCACCAGGGGTCTTGGAATGTATTCCTCATGGATAAAAGGGATGACTGCATTATAAAATGCAATTATTTTTAATAGAGTTGTAGCTCTCCTTTACTAATTTTTTTTTAGAAATATAAATTTTCTGCTGTTAAATATTTTTAATTTTGTAGAACTTTGAATCAGCATTGTTAAAACTGTAGATCTTAATATGTGGAATAGCCAAGTCTATATTTGTCTGTAAAGTGAAATTCTGCCACTCTGATTGTATTCTCTCATAATTTTCTGCTATAGACTTTGAGACTCTTAATGTTCTTACTTAGACCACAACAAATGTCAAGTCTCCTTGGGCCATTGTTCATTTTACAGGCTGAGTCCTGGGGAGTCAAAATTCCTGCAAGACATTTCAGCACTGCTTTAACTTCAGTGTGACTTACACATGAAGACATTCAAATGAAATTTTGAAATTCCTTAGAAGTGGTTGCTCAAAGGATGCTTAGTGCTATTTTAATCAGTTTTTTTGGTGTGAAAATACTTAAATGTTGGACTGTATTCGTTGGGATACAAGTATAGTATTTGGACATTTAGAAATTATTTTAAGAGTTGATATGAAGTATTAGTTATTACATCAAATGCTTCTTTAATGCCTGATTTATACATGGCCTCTGTTACATACCATTTATGCTTTATAGGAAAATATAGGTACCCTCAAGAATATTCTTCTCTAAGAATATATTAACCTGCCCTTCACCTCAAAACTATACATTATAGGTGATCTTTATGGGAATTTTCAACTATGACCATCAGAAATGGGTATATATAGGTGACAGATGAGCCCTGATAATTTTTGTAGTGCGTTGAACAAAAACATTTTGCCAAATATTGTATTTGTACATTACTTAAAATTTATGAAGTAGATCTTAATATGCTTGAAAAAAAAAATTGTTTTCCCCAATTCTACCTTGGAATAGATAATGAAAAATTTTCTTCAGCAATGTGGAAAAAATGTCACCTGGTTTCGTGGCCAATGAAATAGAAAATTCTTTTTAGCGCCAAATATGTTAGATGTCCAACCAGCTAGTTGGTGATTTGTGCTGTCCCTTCCAGACCTTTACCTGCTCAGTCCAGGGGCTCAGTACAGCTGAGCAGTGCAAGTGAAAGGATATCAGGTTGTGTGTCTGTCATTATGCAAGTTAGTTTAAAATAATTTTTATGTTATTGGGTTTGTATATTTGAAGACTTTTTTTTTTTAAAAGACTGGTCCCTGCTTTTTTTTCTTTTTAAAAAAAATATATCTTTATTGATTTCAGAGAGAGGAAAGGAGAGAGAGAGAGAGAGAAACATCAGTGATGAGAGAGTCATTGATCGACTGCCTCCTGCACACCCCCGACTGGGGATCGAGCCCACAACCCGGGCATGTGCCCTGACTGGGAATCGAACCCCAATCATCTGGATCCTAGGTCAATGCTCAACCGCTGAGCGACGCCCAGCCAGGCTGTATTTGAAGATTTTTAACAACTGTTTGAAACCTCAGGGAGTGTTTGAGTAAATTGCTTGCTTCACAATTTGTTAACTAGAAAGTATGTTCTTGACTTTGTTACTTATAATACCCCAAATGAGACCCTAACTATTGCTTTCTTCTTACTATCCTATATGTAAAGGGGACAGTTTATACCTATTTCTTTGGTTGTTAATATAGTAACTTTTATGAAAGTCTCAGTACATAAAAAATTTCAAATTGTTTCTTATTTTGAATTCTTAAAATTAATATATAGGTATTATGTTTATCTTATGTTTAGGATTTTATGAAAAATGGAAAATTATGAGGCATTTGTAGGCTTTGATCTCTGTAAGATACCACTCTCCAGTGTTGCTCAGAAGATTATGTCTGCTATGCGTTCAGGTGATTTAGTGGAGTCTAAGAATTGGAGAGAGAGTGAAAACAGTGAGTAATTTTTATAAACCTTTCTGTCTTTTGTTACTTTTAAGATTAAGGTTTGGAAATGAAATGTAGCAAAATTATTCTATAGAACTTCAGTTGTGTGGGGAAGCGCCGGCCTACAAATGGAGCCCAGCTTTCCCTCACTTTCCTCTCATTCAGTGATGACTGAGCTTCAGCTTACTAAATTTCACATTCTCTTAGCCCTTAATTGCTTTTAAATGTAACACACTTTTCCTTGTCCCAGGCATTTCTGTCAGACATTCCCTTAGAATCTGATCAGCTGTTTAACCTCAAAAGATATGGGCTCCTTGACAGCGCCTGTTGCTTCAGCCTTAGCTCTTGGGTCATTGAACCTGTACGTAGTATAGTCAGCCCTCCATATCCATGGGTTTTGCATCTGCACGTTCAATCAACTGCAGATAGAAATATTAGCAAAAAAAAAAAAATCCCAGAAAGTTCTGGAAAGCAGCAAAACTTGAATTTGACACATACCCAGCTTTATGTTGAGTCCATGCAAATGAAGTGATGTGTAGGCATATCCTGCTGTAGTCTTTATGCCAGTTTAGGTTATATGTAAATACTTTGCCATTTTATGTAAGGGATTTGAGCACCCACAGAGTTTGGTAGCCTTGGGAGTCCTAGAACCAATCCCCCGCGGATACTGAAGATGACTCTATTTGCTTATTGTGTGTGGTGGACAACAGAAGTGTTTTTGATAATATGTATATTATGCTGACATAGAAATGTGTAAACTCTTAGGGGGCAAAGGTCAGTGAATCTATATATATGTTCATGAGGTGGTATAATAGTAAAAGCTGTGACATATGCTCACAAATGTGAAATGTTTGGAATGCTTTTTTTTTTTTTTTACTAGCCAAGTGGTTTTTATTTAACTTATTTTTTCTTCTTTTAAAAAGAAAGACACAGAGAAGCATCGATTTGTTGTTCCACTTATTTATGCATTCATTGGTTGGTTCTTGTATGTGCCCTGACCAGGGATCGAATCTGCAACTTTGACATGTGGGGATGACACTCTAACTAACTGAGCTACCCTGCCAGGGCAGTAATTTTTATTTAAAATTTGTAAGTTTGGGCCAATAAGTTGTTTGTTTTCTCCAGGGTAAGTTATAAGTGAGTGAGATATAATTGAGCAATTATATTGTGATGAAATAATTGAGAGTATTGACAAACAATGCAAACACTATTATAAATGTAGTTTCTTAATTAAGATATAATCCCACTTAACATTTATATTCAGGTATCTGTTGTTTGTGTGTCTTATAGAAGTTACCAATAAAGGAATTGGTAAGAATTTTTGGATGTGGACTACATACCTAGTGTTTTAAGGAGAATGGTGCTGGTGGGGGGAATAGTAAAGAAAGATAAATAAATTAAACATCAAAGAGCTTTCTCCTTTATTCTGTATACTTTCTAAAATAAAAGCAGTGTGCACTTGACAGGTGGAAACGCACTTCCCTTCAAAAACTAATAATGAAATGCCTCTGGTAGTTAGTTATAATGTCTCTGTTGAGAGAAATTTCTGGCAGTCAGCCCATCTCATGAACTCTCTTGTCATGTTCTTAAAATACCCTGTTAAAGCCCTAGTTTTCATAAATTTATTGAGTAGGTAATGGAAAGAGATAAGTTTTTGTTTTTTGTCAGGTGTTTGGTATTTGGAACAAGTGGATGTTCACAGGGATTCTGTATTATCTGTTGTTACATAACACAATTACTGCAAACTTAGTGATTTAAAACAACACATTTGTTATCTCACAGTTTCTGTGGGTCAGGATCCTGGGTACAGCTTAGCTGAGACCTCTGCAGTGCTAGAGTGCAGGTGTCAGCCAGGGCTGGAGTCTCATCTGAGGCACGAATAAGGAAGCATTCACTTCCAAGTTCGCACAGCTCTTGGCTGAATTCATTTCCTTTCTTCGTGGTTCTGGCCATAGTCAGCTTTTCATCATATAGGTGCTGGCTTTTTGAAAGCCAGCAAGAGTGTGTCCCTAGCAAGACTGACCTTACAGGTTTACGTAGCATAATCACAAACGTCCCATCACCTCATCTTTATCCTGTTGTTTAGAAGTGAGTCAATAAGTCCCACCTGCACTTGGGGGAAGGAGTTTACAAGGACATGAATACTAGAAGGCATGGGTCATGGGACCACCTTAGAGTCTGCCACTGAGTTCCACTAGTTTTATTATTTCATAGGAATTAAAGTTGGATTGTTAGTGGGTTACTGATGAATGATGCTGGATGTAAGACCTAATGATTCTAGGACTTTTTCACATGCCAAGCTGTTCTTTTTTTTTTAAATGTTTTTATTGGCCTGAAAACATCCACCTTGCTTCCTAGCTGGCCAGAGAGAGAGAGGGAGGGAGAGAGAGTTAGAAACATCAATGATGAGAGAGAGTCATTCATCGGCTGCCTCCTGCAAGCCCCTCACTGTGGGGATCAAGTCCAAAACCCAGGCATGTCCCCTGACCGGGAATCAAAAGGTCACCTGGTCATGGGTCAATGCTCAGTCACTTAGCCACACCGGCCGGGCCTGAGCTGTTCTTATCTTAAAAGTAAAATATTATAAATTAGCGTTTAATTTCTGAAAGCTCATTTCATACCAAATATAAAACTTGAACTCAGAAATCAATGGAAATAAGCTACAAATATTTGATATTACAAACACTAAAGTAGAACCAAACATTTTTGTTATATATCACTTTGGGGTCTACTTTTCTGATCTGCTAGACTAAGGTATTTCAAGATACATATCCAGTAAGGATTGGACTGTATAAACTTCTTGCAAGATTGATCTTTTATTTTAAAACCCTTTGCTGTGAAGAAAAAAAAAAGAAAAAGATGTTGCAAAAACTAAAACTACAGCTTAAGGAATTCATAAGGGCATCCACGTAACTATCGCTTACATTGCCAGCACCAAAATTCCCTTCTCGCTTAAAACCCTCTCCCTGCTCAGTGTAACCATTATCCTGACTTTTTCTGGCAACCACTCTCACTTCCTCATCATGAACATTTTGTGTTGCTCCAAAAGCCTTTTGGCAAAGATTACTTATTTGCCACACCAGAGCCTGTCCTTCCTTTCTGAGGCACACGATCAGACTGCATGGCTCAGTCTCCTCACAGACGGGTGGCCAAGCAGCATGTTCCTGTCAGTGGGGTGTGTGTGCCATTTCCAGGGTAGGCCTGAGAACATCCAGCTTGCTTCCTAGCTGGCTGCCTCTTGCCTTCCCTACAGCTGAAACCTGAAATGACTCCTTCCCAATCCTGCAAATGATAACAGTATCCTAGAGGATGGTGGGACATGGTGCTGGGAGCCCGGGTCCCAGAGTGACTGCATGAACAGCTGTACCAGCTGGGGCCTCTCACCTCAGCCTGAGAGAAATAAACCGACTTTTTGGGCTTGAAGCCATTGTATTGTGTTGTTGGGTCTTTTGTGACTACTGGCTCAGCTTTTCACCCAATACCTACACCTTTAAACTAGACTCAGAATGGTGTTCATCTGACCTGCATTTTCAGTTGTTCATCTGACCTGCTTATTGTTCAGTGGTGCCACTGAAAGCCTTTGGCAAATACTCGGGGAGGAGTTTTCAGGGTGGTTGGGAGGTTGTCAGGTGACCTGGTGCTATGATAGGCTATGCATATGGTTAAGAACATATTTATTAGATTACATGTCTGTTTTGTCTGAGTACCTACAGAGAGCAAATAATTTTTCTAGTACACATTTATCCAGATTCTTTTATGAAGTTTTATTTATTTTTAATTGTTCAAAATATTACAGATGTCCCTTTTTCTCCCCGTTGACACCTTCCACCCTGACCCACCCTCCTCCCCAGTCCCTCACCACACCATTGTTTGTGTCCTTCAGTTATACGTATATACATATAAGTTCTTTGGTTAATCTCTCCCCACCTACCCCACTCCTTCCCTGTGAGATTCATCAGTCTGATCCATGCTTCCCTGTCATTGAATCTACTGTGGTCATCAGTTTATTAAGTTCTTTAGATTCCACATATAAGTGAGATTATGTGCTGTTTGTCTTTCTCTGCCTGTCTTATTTCACTTAGCATAATACTCTCCAGGTCCATCCATACTGTCCCAAAGGATAAGGGATTGTTCTTCTTTACAGCTGCATAGTATTCCATGGTATAAATGTCCCACAGCTTTTTTTATTTACTCATCTCATGGGCACTTGGGCTATTTCCAGATCTTAGCTGTTGTAACTTCAGATTCTTTTTTATTTTAACTTGATAGAGCTTAGAGGTGAATATGGTGTTTTCCAGGAGAATAAAAATATTTTTATGGACATTGCAAATTATGAGTTAGAGGCCCCTAAAGGTAGATATTTGTTAAAGTCCAATTCATTTATGTGAAGTGTTTTTTTATTCCCATCATCTCGTGGAAATCTGCAATTTTAAAGACAGATAACTAAATGACAAAACAGATCTATTTTGATTATATTTATTCTAGTCAAGAGTATATGGAAAACAATTACATTATTTTTATTTCTATCCAATAAACATAAAACCCTTATGTCCAACCACAGCGAACCCTGCCAGGTGTTGATTTCAGTTCACACTGCCCTGATTCAGGGCTTCCTTCTCTCTCCTTGGATTTGCAGTAGTTTCCTAATTGCTATTTGCCTTCAGCTTGTTGCCAGTTTTGTCTTGCCTTTGCAAGAATTAGCTCAGCTCTTGTCCTTGCTCTCTGCAAAATTTATCTTTGGAAACATCCCCATGCTCTCCTACCTGGTCCCTGCCTGCCCATCTTAGTCTCCTGTCCCTCCACTTTCCCTCTTTTTGCCCCATTCAGATCTGACTATAGCTTCCAAACATGTGACATTTTCAAACTTTTTACCTACCCTTTTTTTCTCTCCTTCACTCAAAACTGAGTGGTGAAGTCAACATTTTACAAGGTTCTGTTCAAATACTTCTTCCATCATCAGGATGCCTTTCTGGAACTAATGCATTTGATTCTGTGCAGCTCAGTTTAGA